TGCTGGGTCCAGCAAGACTGAATCTAGACTACAAGAGGCATTCCCACACTCTTTGCAATTGTCAATTTCTATCTGTGTTTAAAACTACTGATAAGCCTTCGGCCTTACCTTCTATCCAACCTACATGAATGAATGAACTAGAGCCCATAGCAAGATACTGACTGTACTCAGGCTAATTGCTTTCCAGTTCTGGATCTGGAGCTAAAGATCCCTTGCAGGAAGAGCATCCCTGTTAATAATTTGGATGGTGGCAATCTAGTTCACCTTCCAGGTTCACTGAGAACATAGCTAGCACTTAACTGGCTCTGCAAAAATACCTTTTCTAGTTCTCAGTGGCTCTTTGTCAAGGAGTGTCCTCTCTGGGAGAGCTAACTGTTCTTCTCCAAGCTACTGCCCTCTTTAAATCTGCTATGAAAATCAGTTACCATTTGGCACAGAATGCTACCCTGAGGTGTTAAAACGAGTAAGGCAAACAAAGGTACTATGACAGTAGTAGACCTGTACAGAGCTTTTAAAGACCTGAGCTTTACCTGTGTCCTGTGCCAGATAACAGATGCCCTGGAGTGTCCCAGCTTGTTTCGACAAGGTCCTTTGTCATAATGTATAAGGAGAAAATCATCCTACAAAATATTAAATGAGAAGGTGGGCAATAAACAGAAGTTCTTCAAGTTATAAAATACTACATCCTGAGCACTTATAACCAGGAATCATACAGGAAGAAAAAGCAAGTGGATATGGCCAGGTCCAACCTTTCCAAAGTGCTTTGTTTACAGTTAGATGCCTTCACAAACAGTTTTGTTTACCAAGTGTTATATACCTATAGTGAATACTTCTTCCAAAGGCTCTCAAGATGCATATTTAAATGTTGGCATGAAGTTTAGGAAGAGGACCCAAGATGGTAAGATGATGGTTGCATACATACAGAAAGAGCAAAGGAAAATGAATACTTGTACTGCAGACTTCCCAAAGTTGGTTCCTTTCATTAGTTCAAGAAGAGGAGGACAATGCAGATTTTTCAGAAATTATGCTTGTCAGTCCTGACATCCTCTCACAAACCAGCCAAGATATCAGGCCTAGTACCAAGGGAATGCTGCTTTTTATCTGAACATGTGAGAAGCTTATGAGTTCAAGACTGCTAGTAAAGTATCCAAATGGGACAAACAGAGGATTTTAATAGTCAGAGTAGCCTTTGGGACCCTTAAACATTTCCTTTGCTATTGTTAACAATGCCATAAAGTAAAACTGATGGCATGGAATCAGATGTTGTATATTGTATATACTCTGATCCCCAGGCATGATAACAGGCTGATTTTTAAAAAGAATATAAACACATGACGGCAGCAGCTTATAGACTGGTAAATTCCTGGTGGCTGGGAGAACGTTGTATTCTTTTCCATATATCAGATCTATTTATTGTCCCACATAATACAATGAATGGTAAAGAAACCTGACTGCTAGTGACACACCAAATCTAGTTTGTCTGTTAAACTTCCTCAGACTAAGAACATTGCTATACTCATCCTGTAACTCCTTCAAGAAGGGGAACATTGAGAAGCCAGTACTGGAAAAAAAGCAACATCCCTCCCCCATATTAGTTGCCTTGTAAAGATTATCATAACAAAATTTTACTTTTTAATAATTATTTACTGACTCCCACAGACCAAATGCTAAGATCACACAGGTCAGACCTGTAAAACAGAATGTACAAATCCTATCAAATTGCCAGCATCAGCTCTGGTGGGTTGTGGTCAGAAGCTAGTGAGCTACTATTGAGTTGACTAATGAGACAGCTGGATGACAAAGCATGGAAATTCTAAGCTACTGAGAACAAGAATGCATGGTATGTACTCACATCAAGAGATTCCAGACAGTACCAGCAAAAGGCATGTTTGCAGTTCTTACACATCATTTGGGCACAGCCTTCATCTCGTTCAATGTAAACTTTACACTTTGGACAGCGTTTGATTGGAGCATCATCATCTTCCATTTTAAAACCTGAACTGTGGGAGAGAGTGAGAAATGAGCAAGATGTGTGGCCACATCAGTTCCAGCAGAATGTCTAAAAACTGTGCTAAAATGGCAAGCCTGCTTTTTCCTTTAAAAGAGAACGAGAAATTACTAGAGATTAAGGTATTCAACTGAGTTTTACTATTCAGGTATTTAGACTACACATTATTTTTCAAAGATATCTCAAAAAAAAGAAGTTTAATGACTACAGTCTCTACATAAAAGTTGGGACATTTTCTTTACCACATATTTTATCAACTGTTCTTGTTACCTAGGGATGCTAATAGATATAAACCAATTTTCACCTGGAACATATCAGATGAGCAGCAGCTAGTTCACACCTATATGCTTTGTACAGCTAGATAATTTCAGGTTTTTTTCTCCCTTTTTCTTTCTCAGAAAAGAAGAAGAAACAATCCCTTGATGGTACAACAACCCCAGACCACAATCCTTTGGATTGCAGCACCAAGGAGAGATTGCTTGTCTCTGCCCTCCTGGAGAATCCTCCCTAGAAACTTCCTTCCAAATCAAGAATCCTAAGGTTCTGGGGGCATGTCATTCTTCCTGAGTTGGTATCTTCATCTCTGACACAGTCCTAACAAGTCACTGTTCATGAGATAGAGTCAGCAGCTCCTCTTCTTGTCTTACACGACTGTGTAAAACCAGAGGTGTTCCCTCATATAGTGGGCACAACACAGAGCAATACTGAAACACTGGAAGAACATTTATTTCCCTTGAGCAGCTTTCTACCACATGCGGGTTTTATGCACACTAAGAACTAAAATGTACCTTAAGAAATGACAATTCCTGCAGCAACTGCCAATGGGAGATACAAGAATGACTGATGAGGAATCAACAGCTTGCTGGAAAACAGGACTGACTCTCGATCGACTGATTGATTTGCCCAACGTCAGGATAAAAGGACACATACTAATTACTCACACTAGGGGTGACTATTACAGAAAAGTGCTTTGTATCCATAAAATGTATATGAAACTCCAAATACATGGTAGCACAAACTGCTACGGGCACATTATGCTCCAAAACAATGAAAAAACAAACCTCAGTGGAGGGAAAAAATGAAGCATGAAATAAAAGCTAAAAGCAACCAAAACACTAAGCAAAAATAGATAAAGTTTCTTTACCTTGCCATGAAATTTAGCGAGCTTCAGTTCTTGTCAAGCACACACAAAAAGCATGTGCAAAAGTTAGTATATTTGACCAGGAACTCATCGTGACAGCATCCTAACTAGTCATCTATTACAGTAGAGCTTCAAAGAAGACAAGTTATGAGTAGCTAAGTCCAAGGCTGTGTAGGGCTTTAACGATGCCATGAACTGCACTACAGTCTTTGAAAAAGCCCAGACAGTAAGTGGAACACATGCACAACAGCCTTTCTTATTGAGTGGCTGCAGTATGCTACTGCAAATTGCTTAAAACAGAACCTAAGATCATTGACCAAAGTGCAGCGGTAAGGATGATTGACAGGGTATCCTAAAAATCACTGTCTGGCATGATGTTACCAACACACGCATTGTCTGGGGAAGCTGCAGCAACAAGATCTTCTCTGAAGGGAAGCTCATGAGCTGTCTGGATGTCATATTTTTCCCACTGGGGCAAAAGGGCAAAGGCTCAAGCAGCTCCTTTGTGCTTTTCTGGGAATGGCAGCAAAGAGGGAGGCTGCCAAGAGCTGTTTAGTTTTGGAACACAGCATTAAAAAAACCAGGAATGACTAAGTGAAGGAAACAGCTTTAAAACACAGTATCAGGAAAATACCTCTTTACTATTCATAATCCGATTTGTTCAACGATTGAGTGTTTAGCTTCTAAATACTTGATCTTTTGCAATACTTTACCTTGTTTCTCCTGGAAGAAAAGAGATTGGCATGTTCTCTTGACAGCCTTGACCTGGATGCCAATTAGATTTGCAAGCAGAGCAGAACTCAATGTCGCACGCTTTGCACTGGACCAGCTGGGGATCCTGTGGGCTTGATTCCTGGAGCTGGCAAACTGCCTGGCAAGTAGAGGATGGACACCAAGTCCGACACGGATCCAAAAGCACTTCTGCAAAGGGACGTAAAAGAACAAAATTCAAAGGGGGATACAAGACCAGCTTTCCATAACAATACATTCCAGCTGAGGTTGACTGGCAAGGCATTTGAAGACACACATTTTCAAAGGGACCCTTTTAATTTATGCTACCCACTTAGACGTAAATCTGGCCTGCTTTGCAGGTAGGCACCAAACTAAAGTGAGTTTCACAAGTCTGAATTAATTGCCCACTTTCATTCACTGAACTAAACTTCCTCTGGGAAAGAGATGGTTTTTTTTTTCAGCTGTGCTTGAAGCTAAATAGTGCATATACTATTTGGGTAAAACCCATCAGACAGCATTTTTACAGCACCTTGTCCAGTAGGACTCTTTCAAGCTGGCCTCTCCCCTAATGATTAGCATGACTAACAATAGCATAAGACTGTTATACAGTTTCATCTCATCTCTTTCTTGGATGCTTACATGCAAGTCACTTCATGTTTCAAAGCCCACTAAAGTCGAGAAAAACCTACCAATGGCTTCAGTGGTTTCTAGGCTGAGTCCTGCCCTCACCAAAATCTTACTGTAAGTTCTCTATAGCCACACCGTTCCATATCCCCACAAGCACAGTCAGTTTATATTCTTATGAACATTAACAAGGTTCATGTTATCATTACATTCAACTGCCCAGTAATTCTGGATGAGATGCCATCCTAGGAGACAATGTTGGTTCTGTGAAAGAGATCAGCCTACCTTCCCAGCCCCTACAGTACTGGTAGTCAACTTAAACAGCAAAGCTCAAAATAGAAGTCACTCCCTTCCTTAGTTATATAATACATAGCAATTTTCTCTCCTTAGTTTAGTCCCAGAATGTTGCAGTTCTGGGAATCACGCAGGCAAGAACAGAAACAATTACTTTTTGGGTTTTGTTTTGGGGTTTTATGTGATGACCAAAAGATCCATGCACAATGCTACTGCACAGACATGTACAGAGCCAGATTCTGATTTATAGGATTGCTCTGGAAAAATACTATCCCCACAGCATTCAGCAAGTATTGTCAAATGTGTTACCTCTTTCAAACTGTAGCTTCTTATACCTTTGCATGATTTCTGATGCAACCATGCACTCAATCTGTTGAAGGAAGGAAAAGGCAAAGACAATTTTCCAATTAGGAACAGCAATAATCTAAGGCATTTTAAACAGAAAGAAAACATTTGACTTTTGAAGAATTATTAAGAACATGTGTTGGCAACAATGGCAGCTGTAACTTAAAGAGCAAGACACATTTAAACATCTGTAAAGAAAAGAAAAAACCCACCCCTATGTACAGTAAAAGTATACCTACCTCATTTTCTTGCAGATGCCCTCGCTTTGGGCAGGCAGCATCAGGGCAGCTGATTGCTGTTTCTAGACCTTCTTTGATCAAAAGTTCCACATACTGTTTTAGGCACTGTGAGAGAGCCAAAGACTGAGTTAACTATCCCACCAAGAATAAACCACTCAGAGTTTTAGTAGCTTTCCTCTGAAAATCTGAAGAATTCAAACTTCTTTGAAAAAATAGGTACTACTGTGTCCCTTTTACAGCCATGGGGCATGCTCAAAGCTTTTGTCACAGTTATACCTTTAAGTAGAAAAGAGCAAATTCATTTCCCCATCAAATCATAAATCATTTAGCTTGGAAGAGACCTCCAAGATCATTGAATCCAACCACTAACTGGATAACTCTTCATTGATTTAAAATATGCAGCAAATTAAAAAATAACAATAATGGGGGAAAGCACAAATTGAACAGGTAACAAAGAAGGGGGAGAAATAATAAAACACCACCATGATAAAATCAGACTAACCACACTCCAAAATTCTTTATGTGACTGGAAACCACAACACAGCTTAGTAAGCAGTAACTACCCATAGACAGACATCTGTCAGGCATACAGAACGCAAAAGGGAGTTGTGTATCTTGCCTTCCACTCCTGGAAAATAACTATCTGAACTTTATGGTTAAAGAAATATCTGTTCCATAGGAAGGAAAAATGTGAGGAAAAAATGTGAGAATTACAAGTCCCCAAGGAACTACAGTTTCCATGGGGACTGAATAATAAATATTGGTAATACTAATACTCCCCTAGCAACCATAGCATTTTAGTCTAGCCACAACTGAAAACATAGCCTCTAACATAGCAGTGCACAGCACAACCATGAACAAAACAGAGAATAAAGGTGGATATTTTTGACTAAGGAAAAATTGTGACCAAACTTTGTTATTCTTGAAAAGCAACAAACCCCTCCACCTCCACGCTTCCCGTATCAAAGAAAGAGCTAATGTGCAGGTGTCTATTGGGAAGGCAAGGGAGCAATGGACTGATACCATGCAACTTCTATCAGGCCGACACTATGTAGAACAAAGGATGGTCTGTTTCACAGCGGCTGGGTCACACTGTGGTGTTCTGACCCTGCTTGTGAGCTCAGATACCAAGGGCAAACCAGAGACAATTACAGAAAGTGGCCCCTAACTCTGTGTGAATAAGGTGTGAAGCTAGACCAACAGCAGAATGAAAGAGATATTAAACAAGCTCAGCACACAGCTGTGTGGGAGGTGAGAAGATATATATACACACCCTAGAGCAAACTGGCAAAACAGGAACTTTCCAGACAGAATTTGCAAATGGTCTTCAGCTGCAGACTCACCACCAGTCTGGGAAGGCAAAGGGCTGCATTGACCTTGCTGAGGCTAGCATGCCTAACTGCAGATCAGAGCACAAAACTGCTTCTTCCTTCCAACCATGCCATCAAACAGCCCATCAATGAGTGCCTTCCAGCCTAACCCTCTGCATGTGTCTTGCAGCTGTTAAGGTCCTGACTTTGAGCCTCTTTCCTTTCTCTTTATGCCTCTTGATTTGATTATTCAGCTCCTTTCAGAGACCTATATTAAGACATTCTAGATTTTACCTCTTGCAGCTTGATTGCAGCAAAAACTTCACTTCCTGCCCACACAATCTCTGCTGCTCTGGTCCGCAGCTTTTCTGGTGGCATCATGCCACCATCTTGATAGCACAACAAATCATTTCTGTTAGTCCCCTTTCCCTGTGTCTCCCACACAATAGAGAAAACAGGACTATTTTTTTGAAGAAAAAACCAAAACAACAGAGACCAGATAATTGATATCTTTAAAAGTTTTAGTTGTGCAAAGAAATCAGTGTGTGACAGACTACAGTCTATGCCTTCCTCTTTATCAGCAGGGGCTTAATGAGGGCAACGGTTCACTTAGTCAATGTTTGCCTCACAGAAGGTTTCCAAGCCTTAACTGGGAGCTCTACAGGGCAAGTGGTGGAGCAGCTCAAGAGAACCACTAGCAGCAACCACAGCAGGCTGCAAGACCTAGGTACTAGGTTATGTGCCTTGGCAAGCTGTGATTTCAGCTGCAGAGAGGTACTAGTGCTCCTATAATGACACTGTTGGCTCGTCCCTTTCCTCTCCATTTGCAGATGCCAAGTGAGTATTAAAATGAAAATACATACATTTTTAATGCTAGCACTTAGCACTTATAGAAAGTACTTTTCAAGCTGAATGAGCTTTGTTATCATTAATCATTAATGTGGCTAATTCTCCCCTTCAACCTATTTGGGACCATTGCCAAAGCCTATTCGATTTGCTTCCCTTTCCTCGCATCTTCCAAGGAATGACACAGTTCACCCCTGTCACAAGCAGTGTCCACAGCTTTCCCCTCCCCCTGATGTGGCACCAGCCCCTGTCTCCTCAAAATCAGCACAGCCAAAGTGTACTTCTCATATTTCACCTTCTGAGAACTGTCATAATATTAAATATTGCTGTAACATAAGCAGAGGATAAAACACCCTGTCCATTCAAGACTTCCTTGCTCCAGAGATTCCTTGGGTGGAGAAGGAGTAGCTCAAAGCAAGACAATTTGAAGCACAGGGTACATGTGATTTCTCTTGAGAGCAGACATAAGATGTGCCATTGGTATGAGAAAATTTAAACTAGTTATAGTACCAGAAATGCAGCAGCATGCAAGTAAAACAAGGCAGCAGGATTAGGATTCAATTATATACTTATGAAAAATTCATTGCAAAACAATTACAAAAAGATGACAAATAAATTGTTGCTCATTTTCTATGCAACTTGTAGTTGATCCCATGCTGGTAGAAAGTACCTTCATAGCCTTTCCATTAAGGCAATAAAGTACTGTACAGCATGAACAAGAAATGTGGGAGTGTAAGTCACCCCAAACAGCTTTCAAAATGAATGGTAGTACATAATTTTTCTCAGAGAAAACAGAAGCTGAAATTGGATACCTATGGGCTAAGGTTGGAGCAAGGTCACAAGATATTCTTCTTGTCGTATATTGACCCTTATGAAAAGCAATATGCTGAGGAGCATCTTTATTCTTCCCTTAATGGATATGTGTCAATTGAAATTTATTTTTATATGAAGAAATACTTTTACTTGTTTAAATCCCATTTGTTTCTTTCTTTTAAAAAACACTCATTGTATTTCAATAATTAAATAACTATTATTTAAGTAAATCACACTTGGATATACTCTAAACCTATTGGAAACTGATGGGGTTTTCCCATACATTTCTGCTTTTTACAGCTTATAACAATCTTCAGGCAAGTTGTGTTGTTTTATGTTGCAACTGTAACAAATGGACAGACAATTGTAATAGCTTAGATTTCTGGTCAGCATACATTCTGTCAGAATACCAAACAACTCAGGGGAGGAAAAGGACAATTTTTATATGGTGGCACCCTAGGACATTAAGGTTGTTTGGGTTCCTTAACTATACAGACCTATACCATAACATTTAATTTTACAATGTCATGAAGGTTAAGACAGGGATCCCCATGAAAACTGCCACATAACTCTGGCAAATTTCCATAGACAAAGGCAAGCAAAGCACTGCACAACATGTGTGTTACATAAACTATATATAGACTACATAAACCATATACATAAGACACATACATATAAGCTATAAATGAAACTTTATCTAAGTATTATGTGAACTGCAGGTTAGGATGCATCTCATACCCCAGATGCTGCTAAGATCACCCAGAAGAGACCAGTTAGCTCCTCTGAGCACTACCCTCGTATTTTTCACTGTGCATGCATACTCCTTGTGCATCCTAGCTCTCTCCCCCTTCCATTCCTGTTGTCCTTTCTGGTGTGTGAATAACTTTTGATTTCACCTGGTAATCCAAGAATTCTACTGCTGTTTGCTGTCTCAATGACAAGAAGCAGGAGCACATCCACTTTGAGGAGTTTTGGCCCAGATCTGTTCTACTACAAGGATCAACTGAAAGCCCAACTCAGCAGTGGTTTTACTATAAGCAGCCTATATAAATTTGGAACACTTTTTTTTCCTTGCCTCAGAGACAGATGGCTAATAAAGGAACTACTTCCTTTCTGAAGCTGCCAAGCATAGCCTAGTATTTAAAAGCTCTGCAAGATGTATTGTACTTCTAACCTTTTGTACATCAAGGATTCATAGTCATAGAATCAACTGGGTTGGAAAAGACCTCCAAGATCATCAAATCCAACCCTACTGTCGTTACTAGACCATGGCACTACACAGTAAGGGATGTTCAGTGACCACTGAAGTGCTGTTGCTTTAGAGCCGCATATATTTTTGTCCGATGTTGTAAAGATCAAAATATCCTATGAGAATCAAAATGGTTATTTTGTGCCTAATTTCTAAACCATAACACAATCTTGCTCTGCTGCATTTAGCTCTAACAAACCTGACCAGGGCATAGCAAAATGTATATATAAGAATTAAATTTTCTGGCTTTTCATTTCCTTTCAGAAGAATTCCAGGAACAATCATGCTTTTTTTCTGAGGATGGTGCTTTGATTTATTTCACCTGACACCAAAACCCAAATAAACCTCATCATAATTCCTAAAAAGGACTCTGACTTGCATTGTTTCCATGTGGGGCAACACTTATCTACTATCTACTTTGAAAGAAAAAATGTGTTCACTTGGGGCCTAAGGTCATTTTGCAATACAAAATGCACATAATCAAAAACACTTGATGTTTTTGGAAAGTTACAACAAATTTACTTTTAAGAACATGCCACTGCTACTACTGCAGCAAACAAGCAATGGCTTTTCAAGATGCCACCTTATTATCTGAGAGTTAGGCAGGCAAAAAGATTATCCCGTGTTATTTTCTTAGCAGGTGCTAGGTGGATTTTGTCAAAATGTATGCTTCTGACTATACTAATGCTGCAGATGCAAGTGCCAAGTCATATGGGAAATTTTATAAATAAATGGATTTTGAAAGGCCAAAAAAGCATGACAGGATTGCAGAGCCAAGTATATCATCACCATATCATTTGATTTATTTCTTGAAACGTCAAATGTATTTTAGTGCTGGCACTAAGCCACAGTCATTCCCAAATGAAATGCACACTAGATGCAGAATC